ACTTTAATTTTGTTTGTTAGTGTCATGTTAATACAGTAATAACATACTCCCAATTTAACAATTGGACTGGCAATTGAGTTTCGATGAACTGGGCTAAGTTGCTTTCCTGCCTACATGAAAGGAAAAGAAAAATTTTTTGCGTTTTAAATTTGATCTGACTCCTACTTTCATACCCTATATTTCGATGATAATTGTCTGCATCATATCATTCCACAATCACATTTGCCAAAATTATGCTCTCTTTAATATATTGGCTCCTTATATCTAGCTCTTCAATAGGTTTGTGTCTGCGTATATTTATTTATTTATTTCAAATGGCAGGCGTTTTGATAGTTATCATTAGACCTGGAGCTGACTTCGGGCTTCACAGAGTACATTCACAAGTGTCAAACAACTAATCATTTGATTAATTAAATCAATGTTTGTCTGAAAAGTGAAGCTCAACATCTGCAGGAAAGGAGGTTGTTTAAGCATGCATTAATTAGTCTAATTTGAGAGATGGTATCAATTGAAGCACTGTGATTTTGAAGATAGAATAGTTAAAACAGAGATATTTGTAAGTGAACTTATGATGCCACGGGTGTACTTACTGTCTTCTTATACCTCCACACCATCTTACAAGCCATACAGTAGCGCTAATATTGTGCATTTAACTGGGAAATTTCGCTCTCTTTGAAGAAAAACCTTTTTCTTTCAAGTCACAACACGCAACTGATGCGCAAAACGTTGAGTGAGATTAAGGATGAAATATGGGGTGTGCGATAGACTTACCTCCAAGTGGTGCACCCTGGGCAACGTATACCCATACGGTAAAAAAGGTCTATTACCTGACAGTTGACTTCTGATTTCAAGCTACCATGACTCCACTGTATATCATATTTGACTACTTTCACAGTACTCACCTCACCCTTTTTTTTACCTTTTCTACCCTCGTCTTTGAAACACTCTTCTGTCCCACCCTCTCTCTCGACTTTTTTCACTTTGATGTTGCTTCCCATCTGTGAAGCCTGAAGTCAACTAAAGGGCTAATAATAACTATCAAAACGCCTGCCATTTGATATAAATAAGATGAAATATCAAATATAGACATTGCGATTGCCACTATGAGCTACCTACACCAAAACCAAAAACGGTGCATATGTGGCATGAATTGAAGTGCAAAGGACATTTAACTTATTTAAATGCTCCTCGAAACAAATTAGCGATAAAAAAGATGAGATAAATCAAAGTTAATTGTCGCATAAAATTTACAAATATTTGTGAACTTATGCATCAATTACGCAAATAAAAGCATTTGCTTAACGCTAGATTTAGACTTTTTTCTATGAGAGAACTATTTGAAAAATGCTTTTTCTTTTCAAACTTGCATACGATTGCTTTGATGATTTACAAAAATTATGATGTTGGGTTGAGCAATGAATGAGCCCTATTTTATGACGAAAAATGAAAAAAATAAACTTTTATTTTGTTCTGAGCTAAGATCTGTTTTACAACTTCTAGGCAGGAATAAATTCCGTAGGTTTTTCTTTAACTAATTAAGATTCAAACATCTTTTCATTAAGGTTGTTTGATTAGTAGGAGTTTATGCCAAAATATTAGCTGAGCAGAGAAATGGGACCGTTCAGTTTTCATTCAAGTGGAATAAAAGCGAAGTGAAATTCAAGGAATTCACCTTAAAGTAAATATATTGTTTGGGTGCTCTCTGTGAATTTTATCACAACTCTAGGGATCTTTCGTTTTTTTGAATACTTGGGACTATTTAAGTAGGTTTGGTCTTAAATCTGTGGACCACAGACACCCTACTAACTTCGATATTATTAGTGCTCACATGATTGACTCTATTTGAGTAGCGATCAATCTCTCTTCTCCCCTCTTCAACCCCATTCCTGAAAATGTGTCAATTTTGTCCACCAGATGCATTAATACCTATGTAACCTTTACTAGAAGTGCTCACTTGAGGTTTTCTGGATAGTTCTGAGTGTTACAAGTATATTCCAGTAACGATTGCACTTATTTTGTCTGATTTTGCTCAATCGCGAATTTCACGATTGCAATTAATTTGAAAATATAAAGAAGTTGTAGAATTGCCAAAGTTTACAGTTGGGGTGGTGACGCCAAACCCACCATCATAACATCCAGGTATAGTTTTCTGGAAACAAATAATATATGTGTAGTTGACACAAATCATAAATGTATATGTCTTCTTGGCAAACATCATCCAGCTTAAGTATATGCATCTAATAATAACTTAATTAAATTAATCCTGTAAGGAATTAAATGGGGTTCCGCTAATCCAATTAAGGCAGACATTCAGACACTAAAATAAAAAGATGCAAATCTATGGTCTATATCCTTTCCCAGAATAACATCGATCCGTAGGCGCTGTTAAATTATCTCTCTGGAAAATATACGATAGTATTTTAAAACTATTTAGCCCATTACTATTCAGTGTAAATATTGCAACACTCAATTTGTAAGTGCAATCTTCTTTTACCAAAATGAGTACACAGACCCATCGTGAAGCCGAACTAGAGCTTAGAGTTCGGCTGTTAGGAAATGTATGTTCTTCCTCACCAGTTGTAAACTTCTTGCTTCATAGTCTTGCAAGCATCTTAGAGATTTGACGCCTGCACTGTGTATCTTAATGATGATCGAGTTAGACCATACTTCCTACGATATTATCATTTTCAATACGATATCATACTCACTTATAGAAATTGCATAAGTATAATATGATTATCCAAATGATCTATACCAATTAGACGACAAGATTAAAGCGTTTTCAAAGTAAATAGCTTTTTGTAAGTAAGGAAGATCTTTTTACCGAAAATTGGTTAAAGCTCATTTAAGGAAATTTATCGATTATAACACTTAAAGGTTATATAAGTAAAATGCTGTAATATAAGCTTTATTGAAATTATTGAGAAAATCCGCAAATTCCCAAAAATCACTCACCGCCTCATAAAGCGAAGAAATTCTATTGGAATTTTCGTTCTGCGAAGCATTAGTATTGTTAACTGCGAAATTGTTTTGAGATTTCGAATTTCGACTAATCTATATTTGTGTGGAAGAAAATAGTGAACAGAAGCTTTCTTTTAATTTACAATAAGGTGAGTAGGATGTACTACTTACGGGTTTCTGATCTGTGTTCATCGATGACTTAGGGTTAAAACCGTTGGGCGGTAGACTCTCAACCATTGATGCTTTTTTCGAGGGAATAATGATCTAGGGTAAATTATGATCTAGTGATCTTTTCATTCAAGCAAAATTAATATCAAATTGACGATAAACAGTCACATAATGTTACCATCGATTTATCTCTTATTCATTGTATTAGAACTTCAACAACTCAACTTACAGAGTTTTGTACATAATTTTGGGAATTTGGACTTTCACCACTTATAATCGCTTCTTGGCTCTTTGATAGAGACATTTTAATCTAAATAAAAACGGGAGAAGTTAAGGCAAAATCATAGGTATCTTCCAAGAATATAATTGCGAATTTACAGCTTCAGCATATTTGATTTGGCCACCGGAATCAATCTTAAGGCTGCTTTCCTTGTTCTTTTCAAATGCCATTACCTCAAATAGTAAATAATGTTACTAAAATCTCAATTGTTTAGCAATTATAGTTATAGTTATAGTTATTTCAGTTATATATTCCATATATAATGGTACACTAATCTTCATTATTTCGTTCTTAGCCATTCGGTGCTATGGACTGCATTACGTATATTTAGTGAACTTCTAACCCCAACCTCCCCTCCCCTCTTCCTATCTTATCCATTATAGTGAATCATTTATCGATTTTCGATCAATTGTTTTGCATTATTATGCGTGAGACTCATTATCCTCTCCCAATTTAAAGGCTGTTTTTATTGCTTGGAAATTTCAGCCCTTTACTTTATCAATTTATTCGTCAAATATAACTTTGTTTAGTTTAGTGCACTTCCCATTATTTATTCTCTGCATTTATCTTCGATTTTATTAAACTCCGATTAAAGATCTACCCATATACATCAATTTTAGAGACAGAGGCCTTAGAAATCTCATTGGGTGATGTCAAAGTTAATTTAAGATGATTTCAAAATAAATATACCTTATCAAAAAATCCATCATCTTGGCTCAAAGGCTCCGTATGAACCGAGTCAAATGAATGAACCTTCTCACTTGTATCTCTCTAAAAATAGATACATTATTTATAAAATATATAAGAAGGCAATTTTAAATTAAAATTCTGCTTTTTCATTACTAACCTTAGTCAGCTGATTTGGGGTAGAAATTGTTCTGGGAAACAATATAGCATTCATTTTAGCACTCTGTAAATAATATAAAAAAACCGGCTAAATAGGATTGCTTTACTTATGACTATAATTCAAGCAAAGTACAAAATACCGAATTCCGTTTAGTTGGAATAGGTTGTATATCTTTGGCATTGTCGTAAATATTTGAGCTTTTGCGCTGAACAGTATTCATGTTTGGAGCCTGAGATCGTGACCTGCACATACTTTTCTTTATTGGAGAGCAAAACCAAAGGGTCAGAGTGGTCAATTAACCAATCACAATCATTTAGTGATGATTGGGCAGGAAAATAAACTCATCGTTCCTTCATACTAGAAGTTTTGCAAGTTTAAAAAAAATTTTTGCATCCTTGTTATGCCATATGAAAAAGCGAATAGCTAAAGTTTGAGCGAATTTAAAAGGGTTTACATCACTTCCATCTTCATTTTAGCTGAGCATTTAACCCCTATAGGGTTATACTTCCAGCTTTTAAACTAGGTTGAACAGTAAACATACTCGGGTTCACTGCGTTGAGTTCGCTTAAGATAAGCTATAGCAAGCGAATGCTTCCTGCACATGACTCAACCTTTTACCGATGTCTAATACCTGCTCTTGGAAAATTGTTTAGTTCATTTCCGGCTTTTTGATCACTAGAACACCTTCTTCGCTTTCTTCTGGCATCATCTCTACTATCCTCCTTGCTCGTGGAAGTAGGTCTTACCGCTTGAAAAATCAATATTCAGAAATAGGGGTGAGCGATAGACTTACCTCCACGTGGTGCACCCTGGGCTACATATACTCATACGGCAAAAAGGTCTACAAACTGGCAGTTGACTTCAAACTACAATGAGCCCACTATATCTCATAGTCGACCACTTTCTCACTACTCATCTTGTCTTACATCTGTGAATCACTTTCCTATTCCTCCTCTTGACTTTTATAGCTTTGATGTTCCTCTCCACATTGTAGCCCGAAGTCAACAAAAGGGCTAATAATAATTATCATAAAGCTTACCATTTTATAAAAATATCCAGAATATAATTTACCGTTTCAAGCCGACCTTTACATTAAAAATTTGCGTAGTTAGTCGCTTCCATTCCATAAACTGGTAAGATGCAATTACTCATCTACCTAATATGAGCGCCGAAAACCTTACAAAGGGTTTGGGACACAATTTGTCATGAAGTTCTGTAAATTTTGCCTCCAAGACAGCTAAAGTATCAAGTAGATGCATCGGAAAGCCTGAATAGAGCATAGCAAATTAATTCTAACTAAATTATTGGTAAAAGTTACGAAAATAGAGTTAGTTATTAGGAGTAGATGTTAGGCATCGGAACATACTTCATCATTACGTGAATTTTTCGACGAAGGTTCCCCATAATTAGATTGCAATTCCGGCACTTTTACTGTGGTCTAATTAATTTCCAAACTTTTGTTACATTATATCCGCCCGTTATAATTATAATTATTTAAAACAATAAATAAACACCATAAACTAACTGTAATAGAATATCGTCGGATATATTCGCCCTCGTTGAGTAGATGGTGACGAGACGCTGGTTTTGGGGATTGATTCTGAAAGAAATTGGAAGATGTAAATAAAAAATTGATAGAAAGGAGTGAGAGTAGGTAGGCAGTTACTACTCCTGTAAGAACTGGAAGTCTTTGCAGTCATTCTCCGCCTTTTGAATATGCTCCCCGGGTTCTGAATTTCGACAATTCAAATTATGCAGTTTTCAGAAAACATCATTTGGTCTCCAGAATCATTATTAAATTTAAAAGATTTTTGTCTATAATATGCTTATCAATTCAGCTTAAATTATTTTAGAGTAAAAAATATTTAGTAGGTTCACTTCGCGTAATAAGTGCCTTTTCGTCATATGGTCATTTATAAGTTTAGCTACATTTCAAATCAGGGCAAATAAATAAAAAAACGAATTTATTTCTTTTCATATATCATCGATTTATACGATTGATTCTGGATGAACATTCATAACAAATGGAAGTGAATAAACTCACAGTACAGATTGTATTAGGCGTTGATGCGATTGAACTTCGAGGGGAATATTCATTTGAAGCCCGCCTTGTAGTTCTAGGAGTTCTGACGTTTTCTTCCTAGGCAAAAATTGTAAAACACAAATTTTATTATATTTCCTTGAAATTTGATATATTGATTTTTATCCATTTTTCTAGTTCTATTCCTTTTCACTCGAAATTTTTCCTCAATGCGGGCAGATTTGATGTTGGTTCGGAGATATTCAGATTTAAAATTTACAAATTTCTGATTTAATATTTCCTGTGTCGAAGTGGGATTGTCTACAACATATCATGCTGGTCTGGTGCTTGAGAGCAATTAGTTTTCTCGCTTCCATATTTAGAATTACTGGGAGGGTTAATTTAATTAAAATTTTGTTCGCTATTCCATTAACTTAAAGAAATTTCACTTTTTATTGTAGTTATTCTAATTTAATAATCCAAATAAGAAATTAATAACAAATCCAAGTAACATTCAACATATGAATGGAGAAGTGATTGCCTGTAGACATTCTGAAAACACCTTAGTTGGTGATGTCTCAAAGATATTCCCAGTTGAGTAGGCATTTGAAGGCTGTCTTGGAGACCTGGGAAACCTGGTATTCTGGTCCTAAAAAAAGCAGAATGTTGAATGGAAATAATTAAGTATAGCAAATATGGTCTTTTTTAAAACATTTTACAGGTTAAAATAATTTAAACATAAAAATTATTCCAAAGTTGTTTTTCGCTATTTTAAAGGTAATCATGAATAATTTTAATTTACAGGGTTTGTGAAAATAAGCTATTTGCAACTTTATTATATTAAATCTCATATAGGCTAGTATTCTCAAGCGATTTTGTCAAAAGATGCTCGCGTTCCTATTCGACTAGATGAAATGCGCGTTCAAGACAACGAAAAATCAAAGCCTTTTCTCATGAAAGTCAATATCTGCTAAAATATCTGCGCACTTGCCATAAAAGTTAAATGACATTGGAAGGCATGTAAACTTTTTGGAAAAAGGGATCCTAACTACCTTTAAAGTTTCTAGTAACTATATCTTAGATAGAAGGGGATGCGATAGACTTACCTCCACGTGATGCACCCTGGGCAAAGTATACTCATACAGCAAAAAAATCTATTATTCGGCAATTGACTTCTGACTCCAAACTACCATGACTTCACTGCCTGTCATAGTCGACCACTTCTACAGTATTCACCTTACCCTACTCTCTATCATTGTGTCTGTCTCGACCACTTCTACAGTATTCACCTTACCCTACTCTCTATCATTGTGTCTGTCTCTTTTACATATGCAAATCACTCTTCGGTCCATCTTCTTGAACTTTGATGTTTCTCCCCTCTGTGAAGTTCGAAGTCAGCTAAGGGCTAATGATAACTGTCGAAATACCTGCCATTCGAAATAAGTAAATCTTCGATATTAAAATTTATTTAAAGGGATCAAATCGAATTATTTTTTATATATTTAGATAATGACAACCATGTGTTCCTACTGCTTCTAAAATATACTGTGAAATTGCTATTTTCGTGCATAAAATGATTCAATAGAAATTGAATATATATTCTTTAAATAGGATTGAAATAAACTTTCAATGGTGCACATTAAAGTAAGCACAACAATAAAATTGAATAAGAAAATTGATAGTGTAGAAGACATTACCAAGGTCATCGATTTGGAAGTGGAATTACGAGGAGAGTAGGTATTTGAGGACTGCCTTGGAGAACTAGAGATCTTGCCATTTAGATCCTAAATAAAGAAAAATTTGAAAACAAAATATATTAGTCTCTACTATTGTAAGTTGATTTTTTGATGAATATTTATATAATTCATATTAGAATAAATCCGATTAATTTTTCTTCCATTGAGAATCTTATCAGGAAAAATGATTTCCCCCGCATAAAATCGAGGCTGTTTACGAAATATAAATGATTTTACACAATACTACTTAGAAAACGTTGTTGAACAATAAATGTTTTTTACGCACATCAAATTTACTCAAACGTCCAAAACTCTCAACAGGCAATGAGGAAGCAAGAATAGTTTTCCACGACACTGATAACTTTTTCACTATTCACGTACAAGTACCTTTATTAATTACTTATACGAACCGTCAGTGAATCCGAAATTTTTGACTTGGAATTAATGAGTTATAGTCCCTTTCTTCAACCCGTTGGGATGTAAGACATAATTAACGCTTCAGTTTGGATACTTAGGTGACATTATTATTAGCTGGGCTTAATCATCCCTTATCTTCGCTAGACTTACCTCCACGTGGTGCACCCTGGGCAAAGTATACTCATACGGCAAAAAAGTCTATTAACCGGCAGTTGACTTCAGACTCCAAACTACCAGCACCCACTGTATGTCAAATTCGACTACTTCAACCGTACTCACCTCACCTTTTTTCCAACTTTGTGTCTGTCTCTTTTACATCTATGAAACACTCTTCTGTCCCCCCCCCCAATCTTAACCTTTTTCACTTTGATGTTCCTCTTCCCCTCTGTGAACCCTGAAGTTAACTAAAGGGCTAATGATGACTATCAAAACGCCTGCTATTTGATGTAATCTTCGCTAGAATTAGCCAGTATGGTTGACCCTTAGGACCGGTAGGTATTTCCACATAAGCGCGGTTCTCGTTATCTCTGATTCAGCCCACATTCTAGTTAACTAGTATGCCACCCAAGTATAAAATTCATTTGTCTTCCTCAACACTCGTAATGAGCCCTGGTGACTAGGATTCGTTGCTTTCAGCATTTACTAATACATCAACTTAACCAATAGATGAGCATCTCTGAGGAAAGTGTATGTTCCAACTAGTTGCTAGTAATGAAAATGAATAGCCATGCAATAAGATTGGCCATTAATTGAAATAAAGGCTTTGGTTTCAATTGAGAAAAGAAATGGCAGGCTAGTGTTTATTAACGAAAAAAACTCCCGTGAGTTGTGAATTCATTCACAAACTAACCATCGTGGATGATGAGATTGGGGGACCGCTCGGTGAGTACGGATTTGAATATTTTTTCGGAGGTTTTGGATACTTTCCATTAATAGCCTAATAAAGAAATAAAGATATAAAATACAGCACAATCTATGTCACTACAAACAGTATCATTAAAATGCCTAAATTTTTACGCTTTGTCCATTATTTTCCGAATGGTTGTACTTGTTATTGTCCAGAAAGGCAAAATCATCCAGTGGCTTTTCATGAAAAGTAAAATCATTTTCGCAAATTTTGCATTCAAATGTATGCCAAAAAGTAGAAAATTGACTTTGTCTTCGATGTGATGATAAATGAAAAATCCACTGTAATAATAACGTTTCCTGTCAAAATGACTTCGTGGAGGTAAAAATCTTTATCGAATGCCATTTAACCAGAAAGCCTTCGAAATATGCTTCACAAACAATGCAATTTGAATATGTTCATAGAAACAGGGACTATCTCGTTGGTGTCAATAGATTACGTAAAATATAGTGGCCTTTTTTATAAAAAATTTGCGAATGTAAACGAATTTGCGTGGCATCACATCAAAATACTGTAAGGATGGATCGTTTTTGAAATCCTTTACATCTCACCAATAGTTTCTTAATGATATTTGACCTAGAGGGGTGTGCGATAGACTTACCTCCATGTGGGGCACCCTGGGCAACGTATACTCATGCGACAAAAAAGTCTATTAATCGGCAGTTGACTTCTGACTTCAAACTACCATGACCTCACTGTATGTCATAGTTGACCACTTCTACAGTATTCACCTTACCCTACTCTCCATCATTGTGTCTGTCTCTTTTACATCTGCAAATCGCTCTTCAGTCCACCCTCTTGAACTTTGATGTTTTTCCCCTCTGTGAAGTTCGAAGTCAGCTAAGGGCTAATGATAACTATCAAAATGCCTGCCATTCGAAAGAAAAAACAAATATTTGACCTAGAAGATGTTGGTAGTGTAAGTCCATCTTACTATCCATTATTTCCATTAGGTGTCGACAGCAAGTCTCCATTAACATAAAATAGGTTAATGATTTGCCATCTCCTTGTCAGAATTTGTATAAAAATGGATCGACGGTAAACTCACTCTGTATATTTCTTTTAAGCGTATCTCTGGAGCTAGTTTAAGTGAAGCTAAGTAAGCTCTAACTTTAATAATACTTTTAAAGGCCAAATGGATACTGATTAAATAAATTACGAATTAAGGAGTTTTCATTTTGGCCATGTATTCAAATGCAAATTTTAACGGGATCTCCAAGCCTTTAGTCCTTTTGTTGAAGTAATTTTCAAATTAACATCCATCAATGCAGCGTTTGAGCCGAGGGGGTGGGGGCTTAAATTTCCGAAAGGTCACCTTCAGTTTCCTCTTTAAAACACCCAGCTTTCATACCTTGGTTTTTCTTTTTTAAAAATCAAATCGCAATTCATTCCATGTTAAAATGCATTCACTTTACAAAGTCATAACGTCTTTATTGATCCTTATTTAAAAAATAAGATATAGGTCAGGATTAATATTATAACAAATCGAATTGATGTTGAAAAATTATTTATTTATTTAAAGCTGTAATTTTACCCAATGTGGCCTCTTTTGCATTCTGGCCTGATTTCAGCAAGTGTTTTAAAGTCTCCTATGAGAATTATAGCAAAATTGTCGTTAGATGAAACCTTCATTAAATCGATTTTAAATCTTTTGGCAGACTTTCTTACTGGATTGGACACGTTTCTGATCATATAATCGGTGGCTTCCTACATTAGAGAAAAATTATTAACCTAAGCCGTCATTCCCTTTATTCAGTGTTGCAACTTAACCTAGTTCTCATAGCGTCTACCTTAATTTTGATTCATTTTTCTCAGAACATGCCATGGAATCTCACCAGAATTTGGTCTTGCGTTGTCATTAAATGATGAGCTCCTACACATTTCTTTCAAGCAGTATATCATCAAACAGTTGAATTCAAACACAAATTGTTACTCTTACGCCATGTTTATCGCCCCCGAATGTATTCATATCCATTAAGCGAATGAATCACACAAATCGAGTATATGATATTCATCCCCACAAGGAATTTTAATTTCAATTTCAGACAAGCCTATCAGAGCAAATATGCGTGAGTTTAACCAAATGAATGTGCGTGTAATTAAGTCGTGTAATCTCAATTTCCGCTCCTTAAGTAGGTGTACTGATTCTCAGTGAAGGGCAACAGGTGTAGTAGGAATAAAAATGGAGGCTTTAATTCAATGAAAGACACCTCGTGCTAGGCGTATGATGGATGATGGGTGTTTCTACAGCTGTGAGGCTTAGTATTTAATTTCTCCAAGCGAAATCGAGCTGGTCCAATAATGTTTTAGTGTAAGTTGACGTTTTAATAGATTTATTGATTTTTAACATCGCAGGTTGAAGTGCAAATTTACAAAAATTTTAGTCAAATGGCCAATAATGAGAATCGATTAAACAAGCATGATTAAAACATAAATTAAGCATAAAAACTTGCAAAAATTACGAGTTTAGATTAAATTACCTGTGTGTGCGTTTCAGTGCCATCATAGGGCCTTCTCGATCGCTTAACTTCAAAATATTGCGAATGCTGTAAATGGGCTATAAACCAACATAAATATAGCATCTTACTTTCGGATCTTTTATTCCATTTCCAGAGATGTGATAATTGTCGCCTTTCATCTCCGTCCTAGGTCTGTAATCCATAACGACCTTTCGATTCTGTTCTAACCTACTCATTCGCGTGTGTAGATATTGTATTGACGGTATATTTTGCTTTTGTTTGCTTCCTCTAGCACAGATGAATGCTATGTGAAAGGTAATTACTTGTGACTACAGCGTGTTCTAGGCATTGGGGGGTAGTGATAGCCGCGATTTCGGTGACGCCAATTGGCAGATTGCTGTAATCTGCATTGGAGCCAATATCCTTGGTGCTTATGAGTAAGCGCAAAAGAATCGAAAAGTCGGTGGCATTTTCTGACGGAGTTCTTTTCATCTCTTTTTTTAACATTTCTAACATTTATAGAAATCATTAATTTAAAAGAACAAAACGAAACCCAATTACGACTTCTTGGCAGTTAAAAGTTCATTAAATTATGGGGAGGATATTTGTTCCTTGGGCTGAAATAAATGATGAATTTAAACAGAATGGAGTAGATTAGTACAAGCAAAGTTTATATATATATATATATATTCCTAAAAACTAAATTTATTATCATTGCAGACAATACTTTTTGTTTAAATAAAAAAGATTTTAAAAGAATAACGCGCCAATTTTGCAAGAATAGGAATCAGTAACCTCGCAATGCAAACCACTTCATGGGGTTTCTCATGCCTGCAGAAACAAAAAAATAAAAATCCATCAGGAAATGAATTACTTCTCAAGGTAAATTATCATTATTTTGAGTTCTTTGCAAATGAATATTTCAACCACTTGTTTTATGCGAAGATTTTTATGGTATTGCCTATAAAATTTTCCTCAACGAATCAAAAGTTCGGTGTTAAGAGGAGAATTTTTTGCTTATGAGGCAACTTAATTTTCACTTTTACGATATCTCTAGGAATTTCAAATGTGACTTACACTTTAAGAAAACTTTACATAGATCTCATTTACTACTTATAGCTTTGAAATACAAAATATATAACAAAATTAAATTAAATCGCACAGAGGCGCTAAACTTCACAGGCTTCAGATCACCCAGAAATCCAGAGGTATAACCATGGAAAGTGGGGGTGTGCGATAGACTTACCTCCACGTGGTGCTCCCTGGGCAACGTATACTCATACGGCAAAAAAATCTATTATTCGGCAGTTGACTTCTGACTTCAAACTACCATGACCCCACTGTATGTCATATTCGACCCCTTCCACACTACTCATCTAGCCTTTTCTCTGCCTTTGTGTCTGTCTGTCTCTTTTACATCTGTGAATCGCTCTTCTTTTCTCCTGTCGAATTTTTCTCACTTTAATAGTCCTCCCCTCTGTGAAGCCCGAAGCCAACTAAAGGGCTAATGATAACTATCAAAACCCCTGCCATTTGAAATAAAAAAAATAAATAAACCATTTAAATTGAGCTTCAGAATATCGGAATATTGCAAAGTAAATTTTATCAGCAATACTTCTAAAGCCTATATAGAGTAAGATTTTTAATTAACGGACTTCACATTTCTATTTAACAACGTTCTACTCAGTGGTAGACTATGTTGGTATTTAGTAAGTTCAAATTTTA